GCTTGGTCTCAGGAGCTGAAAGCTCGGCTGAGGCCAGAGGTCTGAGGGCAGGCGGCTCCTGTCCAGACAAAGGGAAGAACGTTCTAGTGAGCGGAGAGTGGTGAGCACCGCTCAGGGCACCGGCCTGCTCCGGGATCGGGCCGCCCCGCTCTCTCCTAAGGAGGCAGGGCGGAGCTCTGAGCGCCGTGGCCTGGGCACCGCCGTCTCCCCATCTCAGCCCTCATGCTAAGAGCTGATGGACTTAGTGTGGACGAGCAAGAACCCCGTGGCCTGCACGGCAGCACACAGGCCAGCAGGGAGGGACAGTGCGGGCCCACACCGCAGTGGGAGGAGTCAGTGGACATTCTGGGGATCGACGCTGGACCCCGAGGCCCAGCCCGTGTGACTCTGTGACGTCGGGTCCTCAGCACGCACACCAAGAGTCGGGGTGGTGTGGCACTAACGCAGCCGCCCCCATGGGCCAGGGCCTCCCTGAGCATGCTGTGCACGTCAGGGACCTGTGGCCCCGGCCGGCTGTGAGTGGGCCGCGTGTGGGGACTCTTTGGGGCAGGGTTCCTGTCTTTCTCTTTTTCATGGAAGAAGTAAACATTTTTTTAAAAGGCGAAGACCTATTAAAGACAGGTAAAACCCAGCTGGGGTGAGAGGTCGGAGCAGTGACACCCCCAGAGGCAGGTGTAGGAGGAAGCCGCGGGGGCTGGTCTCCCCGGTGTGCGCTTGTGAGGCGCGCCAGCGTCTGGGGCCTGGGCTCTCTGGCTGGTGTGTCGCACAGCATGGTGTGAGGGGGGAGGGCCTCCACCTGGCACCGCACACTTGGCAAGGTGATCTCCCCGAGGGGCAGGCTTTGTAAGGAAGAAGGAAGGGGCCGCCAGGACCTCATGACTTGCTTTCTCTCTCTCTCTCTCTGAGTCTCTCTCTGGGCAAATTAAAAAATAATAATAATAAATAATTCTTTGGAGAAAAAAAAAAGTAAGGACAGACATTGCCTTAAGATGGCTCTCCGGGACCATCTCTGGTGAGTGACACCTGAGCTGAGAGCCCCACCTGGCCAGCGTAGTTGCTTAAAGGTTGATTGTAGTGGGGGACCAGCAGTTAGCGTAATGGCTATGTCGCTGGACTCCCACGTAGTCCACCACGGTTTGTGTCCCGGACCTCGTGGCTTAAACTCACGCCGGGCATGTGTACGTGCGTGCCCAAGATCCCGAGAGGAGAATGGAGGAGAAGGGATTGTGGCGTGACCATCCCCCCTGGGGGGTGATTTCTCACTTTCTATCTCTCTGTCTCTCTCTGTCTGTCTAGCGAGCGCACGCGCCCTATAGCAAAAACCT